AAAATGGAAAGATACGAGGTATATATACAACCTAATCTAATATGCTATATACAAAAATGAAAGAAAAATAAGTGAAAAACCTTAGACTTAGCCAAGTGGTGCTCGTATCCAACGGATTAGTAGCTCGTGAACCGAGTAGGTGTTACGTGGCTTGCGATGTCAAGTGCACAGAATTACGAATAATGCCCGAAATTTATTTGATTGAGACGTGATAAATATTTGGGATGAATATTTAGGATGAAATTGATTAAAAAATTTATATGATTATTATTATTATTACTATTATCATTATTATTTTTATTTTTATGTTCATACTTTCATCAAAGAAACAGTACCGGAAACATTTAGCATGCTTGGAAAAGATTACTTATTTCGAGAATTTATATTAATTTAATTATTTTGATTTTAATACGGATTTGGGATAATAATTTTTTAGTTTGGACTTGTAAAAACTTAAAGTTTTTATCTACCTTATTTAATTTGGATTTGTGATGTGATTAATTTCATTATTTCAATTGGTATTTGTTAGGCCAATTAAATGGGAATCAATTTTAGATTACTTGATAAATCTTGGAGTCAACATTGGACTTGTGGCTGGATTTTGACGTTATATATGTTCTGAATTCTGGTTGAATGCCCAGATCTTCTCTTGGTATTGAGTGCTAGGTGCTTCAACCAGGTATATAAATTGAAAGGGTTAATTTCACCTACACCCCTGACGTTTGCCTATATTCTACTTACATTCCCTTTACGTTTCAATATTCCATCTACCTCCCTTGAGGTTTTGGTCTATGCAACAAACTACCCCTTGTTGTTAAGCAACTAACGGTGTCAGCATGAACAAATCAGTACAAGGTCAATTTTGCCCTTACAATACTTGAAATGACATTTTTAACCTCATTGACCATTGCAAATTTACAAAATTACCCTTAACTTATAAACTCAAAAGGACAACTGTGTCCTCATATCATCTCTGCAACCGTGCCTTCATATTGACAAACCTCTGCAAATGTCACTGATGACGGTCACCGCCATCGTACAATCAAAGGAAATCAAAGGAAATCCAAATTGGAAGCTTCAGTGATTGGGTTGTGTTCAGTGTTGAGTGGAGGGCGGTACATAGAACAATCAAAGGAAAACCAAATTGGAAGCTTCAGTGATGACCCAACTGAACTAAAAACTCCATTAGCAACGAGTTTTAACGACCCATGCCGACCAGTTTCAATAGGAATTCCACCACGGTAATAGGATTTTTATTTTATTGTTTATATCATCACAATCACCACCAACAACGATATTCGGTGATGCGCGACATCGGCCACCAGGGAAGGGGAATGTGTTAACTGGTATCGGGAATGGATCAACAGGCATGTGAAATGGAATCTTGATCAACGTTCTTCACCTTCTTTGCGCCATTTTTGTTAGGAATTGGAATGGGAAGAAGCATGAAAATCCGGCTGTGTCTCCGGCGGACAACTGGGTTTTCTGATCTTGGTCTAAGAATGTGTTAACAGGTCTGTGAATGAGGGTTCGTGAGTGGGCGATGCTTCAATGGAGGACGCTGACGAGACTGTTTAGTGGGAATGAAAAATCAAGCGTGAGGCGAACTGTGACTAGGCCAGCGGATAAGAAAAATGGCGATGCTCTGAGCTTTGAATGGTTAGCAAGGGCAACGTCCTACTGGCGCTCAAGCTTGTAATTTCAACAATGCCGACGAAGTTACAGAGCTCCAGCGAGTCAATGGCCGTCTTGTACTGGGTTTCACCGAGGTGGATCGAGGAAACTTGTAGCGTCGCCGTACTGAAGCACGTTGTTGGGTCATTGTTTGGCTGCACTTAAGCACGCTTGTAGCTTCACTGGACTAAAGCATGTTGTTGGGTCGTTGTTTGGCCGCACTGAAGCACGCTTGTAGCTTCACCGGACTGAACAATGTTGTTGGGTCGTAACAGGAGGTTGAGCGGGGTAGTGGCGGTGGCTTTTTGAGATAGTGGTGGCCGTTGAAGAAGAAGACGGTGGTGGGAGGAGTCGGCGGTGACAGAAGAAAGGGACGGTGGCGGAGGAGAAATAGATACAAAATAAATGTATAAATATTCATTTAAATGGATAATTAAAGGGCATTTTGGTCTTTGAATTTTATAAACAATCTATGTATAGATATTTATATATAATTGATGGGTAAAACTGTAAAATTACTAAGATCCGTTAGTAGAGTAGACGACGGTTACACACAAGGGAGGTAGGTGAAATTTTGAAACGTAGAAGGGGTGTAAGTGAAATATGATCAAAGATTAAAGGGTGTAAGTGGAATTAACCCAAATTGAAATTAGGCAGTGCAGTGTACGTTGCACATATTATATACTGTACATGTTATACTTATATATATATATTAAATCCCTATATATCTATTATATTTTCATTGTACTTAGTTCGTGGTCATAGATACTTGGTCTTGGTATGCGTGTCATGAGTAATGGACATGGACAGAAGCTATCACTTTAATATTGTTTGCTTAATTCGAATGTGAGCTTTGGGTACATGTAATGTATATAAAATTATTTATTTATCATTATTATTTATTTATTATTATTATTATTTTTTGGTGGTATTACATTGGTATCAGAGTTGAATGTGTCCTCTGTTAAGAAAGAATGGCCAACGTCATATTGTAGTCTTAGAAAAAAAAAAAAAAAAAACAAGAGGAATGCTAATGTAAGCGACTATCCATTTGCAATCGCTAGTTATGATTGATTAGTTTTGAATGCATTAATTATTTTAAATTTTTATTTTTATGGACTCTATTAATATTACTTTTTAGACAAAAATATCCTTTTAAATTATGTGTTTCTTCTCTCTCCTATTTTAATCGATTTATATAGGGATGTGTGCGTATGTGTATAATAATAATAATAATAATAACTAATGTGATATGAATGGATGCTGAAAAAAAAAAAAAAAAAAAAAAAAAAGAAGATAGATTCTGAGATTTAAAATATATATATACAAAATTAGTTTTATACACGTATATATTTCTTTTTTGGTGAAGAAATTATTTCCTTTTCTTTTATTTCCTTTTTTTTTTTTAAATCCATTTATACAAGGATAGTTGTAAAAATTAAAAATAAAAACAAAAAGAAACACACACACACACACACATATATATAGGAAAAAACAAAAAGGAAGAAATACATAATCGATTTTTTTTACCTTTCTTTTCATTATTTTTGGAATTTTTTCTGTGTCTTTTTTTCTTCTTCTTCCTTCTATTTTTTTCTGAATCCATCCACCTCTTGTGAATGAATTATCCTATCACATAACTAACCACACATATTTGATTAAAAGCGGAGAGAAAAAGAGAAGAAGAAAAATTAGATAATTTAAAAGGGTATTTTTGTCTAAAAAATAATGTTAATAAAGTCCCATAAAAATAAAATCACAAACTAATTAATGCATTCAAAACTAACCTATCATAATTGGCGATTGTAAATGGGCAATCACTTGTGTGACTGCAATTAGCATTCTTAAAAAAAAAAAATTATATAGTATCTAATGGAATAAAATAATAAGAGCGGTACATGAGGAATGAGGAAGGGTGTTACATTAAATTTTATCCTATTTTATTTATTTCTCTTCCTCTATCACCATCCGGGGTTCTCGAAGACGCGTGACAGTAAGGGGAAGTGTTGCAACCATTAACAATCTTAGGGGAATTTTATGGCAACAATTTTTTTTAAGGGGATTTCTTGCCATAAAATGAAATTAGAGGGGGTTTCTTATAATTCGCTCTAGATAGAATTATGAAGTTGAATAAAAAAAATTCCCAATATTTTAATTCATCAAAATGTATGTTCACATTTAATTTGTTGGTAATATGTATATTAAAAAAATACACTTATGAGTTATGACTTCAATTTTAACATCATGAATTGTCATTTTGACTAACTGGTGAGATTTTATTTTAAAGTAACAAGAAGTTATTGCTTTTGTCTCATGAAAAGAAGAGTGTAAAAAAAAAAAAATTAGTTGATCCAATAAATTGGATCAAATCGAACGTGAGACAATATCTAATTCCTCCCGAGGATCTAAATTTCTAATTTACATAAGCATATATATGTTGAATTAATTTAAAAACTAAGAAAATTCCAAATATAAGAGATTTAAATTATGTATATATATAAATAAAAAAAAGACATTGCGGTGACACAACACTAAAAACTGTTAGAATGTCTGAAAAAGCAAGTCGCAGGTATCATTCATTAAATGCAAGGTGGACTTTTGTGTGTACAAGAATATCATTAAATGGCAAACAATAATTTGGCACACTCACCAAAAACTTCTCCCCTCTCCATTCTAAGCAACAATTCTGATGGTCGTCTCCACACAAGTGTTGTAGTGTATGGAATGACCCACAATTTTTATTTTATTATCTTTGAAAAAAAAAAAAATCATTTTATTTATTTATTTTTTAATTTTTTTTTTTTTAAAAAATATTGTGCTGCATCAGATAACACACAAGCATCACGATAGTTGTGGGACGAAAAACATAGTATAAAGTAACATACTTATATTATATTACGATTTTCAATCGCGATCTCAATTGCGCTATTGATTGTAATCGTGGTGTAATGAATTCGAAAAAATATAAGTATAAATCAATTGAATTGGCCAATTTATAAAAGTGTGTAACGATTTTAGATTCTTGAGAAATGATTTCAACTGGTTGATAAAGCGAATCATAAGTCCAATAAATTTTACTTTTTTAACTAATATACATTATTTTTTAAGAAATAATACATTTGCTAAATCTAAAGAAGATAATACGTAAGTGGGAGAGTGAGTCTCACCTTATCATTTTTTTGAACCAGTTTTTCAATTATTGGATATCAACTGCCGTTTTTGCTTCCCAGCTGCGTCATTAGCCCATGAAGAATAATAATAATAATAAACCAGAATTATTTGATTGATTTTATTTTTTATTTTTAATTTCAACTTTTGTATTAAAAACTATTTTCAGATTGTTCGAAAGTGATAAAAGAAAATGACACATAAAATAGAAATAAAATAAAAGGTAAATTTTTCAAAACTCCCAAAACTATGAATAAGTGATCATAAAATCCCAACCAGTTTTTAAAATCCCCAATAATATAACAACGGTATCATGTAACCCCAACTCTGGCAATTAATCCCGTTAACCCAGTGCGTGGTTAACAAATGGTTTGACAAATTAACTTTTGTGACGAAAATACTCGTACTGTCACATGTGCCAAATAAGTGATGTGTATTTAAATGTATTATACCGAAAATACCCCTGGAGTAACATGTACCAAACAAGTGAAATATATTTATACGGGTTATTTCCAAAATAACCCCAAATTTGTTATAGATAAAACCCATAATTTAGTCGTCTTCTCTTTCTTCCTTGTCATTCTCTTTCTACTTGCCGCCATCTCCGCTCACCCTTCTGGACAAGCTTAACTATCATAAACCCACTTTGAACAACAATCAAGAAGTTTAGATATACAAACCAATATATAGATATACACATATATAAACCAAAACACACACATATACATATATATATATAAACCATTGAATTCTACCTGTCATCATTTCATAATCTGAACCCATTTTTCTCTCTCCGCTCCATGAATTTATACATGCTTATATGTGGGTTTGAATCTAACCAACATGATTTCATCACAGGTTGGTATTTGGAGACCATCATAGTTGACCATATATATTAGAGACACCACCAGACCTCTATAACAGAGCAAAATTAGAGGCACAACCAAATTGGGTCTTGTGTTTAATGGTTTCCTTTAACATCTGGGTTTTGTGCTGTTTGCTCTGAAAAAAAAAAAAAAAAAAAAAAACCAAATTGGGTAACTAATACAGTAATTGTTGATTGACGGGTCGTGGTTGGCTCATAGATTGCATAACCTAATAGCTTGTTGGAAAAATATATGCTTCATGTGATATTTAAGATATAACAAATCTTATACTAATATGTCATTAGATAATTAACAATATGTTAAGAAATCATTAATTAAATATGCAACTCTATATTTAATTAAATATGCAAAATAAATTAATAAAATCATAATAATCAATAAAGAACCTGGACCGAGGCTAGTATTGAATACTATGTCCTTAAGACAGATTCGCCCCGCTATGGTGCTAACGGACTCAGTGGCGTCTATCTCCCAGGATACAATGGTCTACATCCACCAGTAGCAACACTACAAACTCGTGGATACGGCGAACCTCCTCCGTGTAATACTCTCTCTGACTCAAAAATGCATCTATATACTATATAAATGCTGAATTGGGTGTAATCCGAACCAAATGGTTCGGACCAATCTTAATATGGCTCGATGAAATTGGATTAGGGTCGAAGTGGCTTGAACCACTTAACCTATGGTTTGAACCCTCTTGGGTTGGGTTCCAGTCTAGAGAGGGAGATAGAAGAAAATGAAAATGAATGACTTGCAAATGATCCAAAGGGGGGTATTTATAGAAATAGAAATGCCTTTTCGGATGGGGTGCGTCTTTTCATCATTGGACACAACCATTGCAATAGGTTGCAATGGTTCACATGGTGTCTATTCACCATTAGACACATCCATTCCAATAGGTTGCAATGGTTCACATGGTGTCTGTTCACCAATAGACACATCCATTCCAATAGGTTGCAATGGTTCACATGGTGTCTGTTCACCAATAGACACATCCATTCCAATAGGTTACAATGTGCCTTTTCGAGTGGGTGCAACTATGGGTTATGATGGTTCGGAAAAAGGTGTAACCCTTTGGAAAAAATTAAAAGTGGTTTTTTAATTTAAAAGGTGTAACCCTTTAGAAAAAACTAAAATATGGTTTTTTAATTTAAAAGGTGTAACCTTTTAGAAAAACTAAAAAGTAGTTTTTTTAATTCAAAAAACCAACCACCCAAAAACCCTACTCATTTGTGAAACCCATTTAAATAAGCCCAGCCCAAAATTAGGCCTAATCCAAAATTCCAAAAAAAAAGAATAATCTGGACTTTACAATTAGGCCCAAGCCCAAGCCCAAATCCTAAACTCAGCTTATTTAAATTTCAATTTGTTTCAACATTTTTTCCATGTGGGACAAACACTTCCCACATTTTGCATACCCATTTAGGCTTATCAAAACACCACACTTTGGAGCTAATTTCTCATTCATCCGGAAATGGATTTCAGAAAGTAAATATACCACGTTCATCTCCTTGCGGAGAGAAACGCGCTTGTCTAGAGATCCGTAAAAAATTATTAGCGGAATCTATTTCAAATCTCATCCAAAGTTTATGTTTTTAATGCCCCCGTTTCCAACAATCCCCCACATGAATGGAAATTTGCGTAAAATGCAAAAGATGATTATGCAGACACTAGAGAGAGTATAATCGAAAAGTTACTACATCAGGATAGGTGGCTTTTGGCTTTGAACCTTCCCTAGTGTATTGCTATCGGATTTACTGGCTAACCAGTGAACGCGATGTCTTGAACTGTTTAGCCGTTTGTGTAAACCAAGACAATAACAAACACACAGTAGCTTTCCTCACAAAGTTGGTTCTCATTGTTGTGTTCATTTTGGCCCTGAACAAGTCCTGGTATTCAATGAGTGCTCTAGAAAACTTAGCCTTTATAGTTCTCATAGAAGCGGCCCCACTTCACACTCATATAGGTAACTTCTTATTAAGAGTATCCTACCAAACCCCACTTGAATTTTCAAGGTATAAGAGTCATTAAAAGCGTAGCTTATCCTGATCATCGCTGTAGGTAGCACTATCTCATCATAGAAATGGGTAGAAGATTTATATCTTCCCAGTGCTTTTGGTGAGTCACTCAGAATTTCTGTTGTCCCTTTGAACCTAGATCTTGGGATCTCCAGTCAGCTAGGTTGGGTTTCCATTAAGGTGACTCGTTAACTTTCGGCTTTAAACCCCATTCCCCTCGATGAACTGTACAATTGCTCTCTAGTACAACCTTCAATTTTATATGTGGCCACAAGGTTGCGTTTAGAAATATTACACTCTGCAGAGATTTCTCCAGGTGAGAGCAACTGTATACTTTGTGCCTTAAAATTGCTTATTATTAGCAATATCATTTTCTTTAGTGGCACAGGTGTAGACTTACTTTGAATTTTCCTCTAAGTGAAGTCTATTGACTTCCCTATTTGATTTATTCAAAGTTTCTAACTTTGAGTTATATTAAGAACATAGAACTACACCTTTAATATAAAAGACATATCCACTATTGGATTTGAAGTCTTTAATATCCCATATCCAGATTGCATCACTGTTACACCTCCAATTTAGTTAGATACCTCGATCTATGCAATATTGGATTTAAGGTGTATCTCAACTACCCAATTTATTATTTTTTAGTGATCCGATCCTGGATTGAAAATGTGCAATTAAACATAGTTATTAAGTTGCCTTGCAATCTCAACCAATGATATACTTTGGTTAGTATATATATTTGAGATTTACATCTACAAAAGTTAGCTAGGCTTTTGTTATCATAACTAGTATTATCTCAATCTCACTCTATTGAGAATATACTATATTATCAGATGTTAAATCTTTCATATCAAATATACCAATCAGTATATCATTTATATTTTAAGGCATACAATGACTTACGCATCACATTTATGTCATTGTCTCGGTAGTAGCTTTAATCCATTCAAGGACTTATAAGCTTACACACTTGACTTTTCAACTGGAACAAATAACTCAGCACTTCAACTGAAAAAAGAACTCTTCTAGTTGTTCCATAATATTTTCCTCGTAGAAAATAATATGCACGTACTATTGTTATAATAATATAAATTATTTTTGGTTCTATCCTAAAGCTCTTAAGACTTGGAACCCCCCACATTTATAAGTATTTCTGTTAAGATGAGTGACTCGTAACAAATTTCATCTATGGATAATATCTCCCCACAACTTTGGGATAATCCTGAAATTTTATCTCTAATGTATTTATTATGATTTTTCAACTATGAAAGTACCATATATTAAATACTTCACATCATCTACCTTTTCAAGGTTCCATATTCGCTTCTCAACAAGCATATATAATAGTCTCTAGTGCATATGTACTCACTTTATCTTTAGCATATTCTTATAATAATTCACCGACATTACCGTGAATTAATGCTAAAGATATTAATTACAATGGGTTCTAATTAATATTTGCTTTTACTTCTTTTATATTTGTAAATTGAGTTATTCATGTTTAGGTTCATGTTAAGTCAGTCATATTAACATGTTATAACTTTTCATGTGTCACACATCACATAACTCAATCATTTAAGCAAATAATTATCTTATTATTTAAGCTTTGGATACAATCACTACAGAGTGAGCACTCACTTCTCAGTTATCATTACTAGTCAAAAGTGAGTTCTTAACTATCATTACTAGCTTAGATTAAGTACACTCTTCTCATATTTCACTACTAGGTTATCATGAGCACCCACTTTTTAGCTATTACCACTAGCTTGAAGTTAAGTTTGTTTAGCTATCAATTCTAGTAGTTCATAGTTTTAGTACACTTATCTAAGTAGTCTACCTTGGTAGTAGAGTAATTTGTTTTGAAAAATATTCTTCAAAAACTACTACTTTATAAGTAGTATTATTCCCTCCTACATGAGCAGATATGATGAATAACTCAAATAGCTTATGGCTAAAATAGCTACTCATCACCCTTGTGTTTTTTACTATCAAGTTGAGAGCTAGAACCAACTAACAGATTTTCCATCTTCCTCTTAGGTTCTGTGCACCCCATTAATCATTTTAGTTTATAGCTAAGCTACCTTGTTTGCAACTCAATAACATTTTAGCTTTTAGCTAAATTGTACATTAGAGCTAACTAGTTTGATTTAGCTTATCTCAGTGTACTAGCTTAGTGTATCCATAACACTTTCCATTAAACTCTTTAGAGTTATCGGAAAATCTTTTCTTATTTAGCCCATTCACAGTTATACGTGTCTTAGACACTAGTATAGATCTTTCTCCCTTGACTATTGGAAGAATTGACATACTTAGACTAATCAATTTTTGTCTGTTGTATTAAATACACAAACCAGTCATGAACTCATACAAAATTAATAATATCACACATTAAATAAATTATGTTGTAAATTTGAATTACAATACACATTAAGTAATTCAACTACATAGTTCAATATTATAGTATCAAATGAAAGTAAACATTTATAAAAATAATATTAAACTTGCATAACAATATAGTTTCATATTATATCACATGATTAATTATATCACATAATTAATATAAGAAATAATAATAATCAAGAGAAGAATTTGCTTCCTTAAAGCTTTGTGGCTTGTTCTCCAATAAACATGCTAGAAAATCAGGAATAAAAGATTTAGACGTTCTGGCCTTTTTACTACCTCTAAGCTCATCTTTATTTTCATTGTATGATTTATGCACAAGGAAATGATATGCAATACTGTTATGAGCATAACCTATCAAAGGTTTTATGTGTAGGGACTGTGCACTTGTAGCTCGCCTAGTGTGGTAGCCTGTTAGTGCCTTTTGCACCCGTCCACGACACACTCACCTACAAGGTTGTCACATTTTAGGTCCACTCTAACCTTTCATAGGAGTAGGATCTGCAACCTTAAATAGACACCCTCACACTTTTAAGAATTTATAGAAAGGTTTTCAACCTTCCCATAATTCATATGATGTCACATTTCTAAGGTTTCATCTTTGCTTCGTGGCAAATACACATAATGGTATCTTGTGCAACCAATGATAAAAGTAACGAAGTACTTTGTTCCACCTCTAGTTGGTACATGTTTAAGGTAATGTCATATACTTCATAATATCATATTACAAAATTAAATAATTTAACCAATATTGAATAATTCAATAATCTACTTATATAACATGCTTCAATTTCACATAATATTGAATGCATAAATATTTAACATATTATCATATAATAATGTATATAACATTATTTTATCATATCTCAACTATTAGTATAATATCTACTTGTTTATATCTTAAATAGAAACATATAATAAAATCTACGCAAGGAAGGAATCTGTCTTAAGATTGTTGGAAAAATATATGCTTCATGTGATATTTAAGATATAACAAATCTTATACTAATATGTCATTAGATAATTAACAATATGTTAAGAAATCATTAATTAAATATGCAACTCTATATTTAATTAAATATGCAAAATAAATTAATAAAATCATAATAATCAATAAAGAACCTGGACCGAGGCTAGTATTGAATACTATGTCCTTAAGACAGATTCGCCCCGCTATGGTGCTAACGGACTCAGTGGCGTCTATCTCCCAGGATACAATGGTCTACATCCACCAGTAGCAACACTACAAACTCGTGGATACGGCGAACCTCCTCCGTGTAATACTCTCTCTGACTCAAAAATGCATCTATATACTATATAAATGCTGAATTGGGTGTAATCCGAACCAAATGGTTCGGACCAATCTTAATATGGCTCGATGAAATTGGATTAGGGTCGAAGTGGCTTGAACCACTTAACCTATGGTTTGAACCCTCTTGGGTTGGGTTCCACTCTAGAGAGGGAGATAGAAGAAAATGAAAATGAATGACTTGCAAATGATCCAAAGGGGGGTATTTATAGAAATAGAAATGCCTTTTCGGATGGGGTGCGTCTTTTCATCATTGGACACAACCATTGCAATAGGTTGCAATGGTTCACATGGTGTCTATTCACCATTAGACACATCCATTCCAATAGGTTGCAATGGTTCACATGGTGTCTGTTCACCAATAGACACATCCATTCCAATAGGTTACAATGTGCCTTTTCGAGTGGGTGCAACTATGGGTTATGATGGTTCGGAAAAAGGTGTAACCCTTTGGAAAAAATTAAAAGTGGTTTTTTAATTTAAAAGGTGTAACCCTTTAGAAAAAACTAAAATATGGTTTTTTAATTTAAAAGGTGTAACCTTTTAGAAAAACTAAAAAGTAGTTTTTTTAATTCAAAAAACCAACCACCCAAAAACCCTACTCATTTGTGAAACCCATTTAAATAAGCCCAGCCCAAAATTAGGCCTAATCCAAAATTCCAAAAAAAAAGAATAATCTGGACTTTACAATTAGGCCCAAGCCCAAGCCCAAATCCTAAACTCAGCTTATTTAAATTTCAATTTGTTTCAACATTTTTTCCATGTGGGACAAACACTTCCCACATTTTGCATACCCATTTAGGCTTATCAAAACACCACACTTTGGAGCTAATTTCTCATTCATCCGGAAATGGATTTCAGAAAGTAAATATACCACGTTCATCTCCTTGCGGAGAGAAACGCGCTTGTCTAGAGATCCGTAAAAAATTATTAGCGGAATCTATTTCAAATCTCATCCAAAGTTTATGTTTTTAATGCCCCCGTTTCCAACAATAGCCACCAAAGATGAGGCCATTGTTGGCTCATAGAAATATAAACACAGTAACACACATAATATTATGTATATAGGCAAAAATAATGAGAGAGAAAGCCGAAACTAGACCTGTAATTTCTTAGATCGACCATGGCTTCCACAGATGAACACGACAACTTCGTTTTCATGGAACCCTAGCCTTTGCGGGGAGATCATCGACGAAGCATGCGGTTCCAGTACTTCCCCGTTCTTCAACTCATCCTCCGGCGCCGCCGCCTTGCCGCTTACGCCTCTTCTCCAGAACGCACAGGGAGTGGTTATCTCGCCGCCGTCGCTAAAGAAGCACAAGAGAATCGGCGTGATTATACTCTTGGTCATCGCAATTCTAATCCTCATCGCAGCTGTTCTGTGTTGCTTTGTGTTGATAAAAAAACGACGACACCAAATGTCATCGTCAAAATCAACAATGTCTAGTCCTGAGATTGCAAATACTGATGCTACAAACAACAACACATTGATTGTTGTAGAGAATGAATCATAAGTTAAACAGAAAACAACCCAGATTCAGATTCAGGGTGTTCAATAACACCGTGAAAAGAGTGGATATTTGGTGTTCTGTAGCGGCGAAGCAGAGATGTATACTCTGGAGCAGCTAATGAGGGTTTCGGCGGAGCTGCTCGGGATGGGTATGATGGGGGACGACGTACAAGGCAATGATGGATAGTCGGCTGATCGTGTCGGTGAAAAGGGTCAACGCCGGCAAGACTGTGATTACGACCGGTGTAACAAAATATATGTATATATATATATATATACACACACGACTTGTTCAATACAATTGCTGCCTTGAATAAAACGACGGGGTTTTGATGTCCAGCTGTGTTGACAATAAACGTGGTCGTTTTGTGTTAAAAGGATAATTTTTTAAATAAAGAGTAATATAATAAGAGTAATTTAATCATTTCATATAACTCTAATGGCCAATTGCCAAAATTAGAATAACGTGATAACGTTACCATATTTGAGAATTTTAAAAACTGAGTGAAATTTTATAGTCACTCGTCGAAAGTTTTAGAAATTTTGAAAAATTTGTCCTAAAATAAAATAAAACCTTACCATTTTCCCATACATAGAAAACAACATCCACTTGGAAGGTGATGACAAAGTACAAACGGCCCACAGTGACATCCCCACCTATTCCTATTTACTACACCATCTGACATGATGACACAAAAAGTAAGTCAAAATTTTGTTTTCTTTTGTTTTTTTGTTTTGTTTTTTTTGTTGGTGGGGGCTTTAACCAGGTGCAGCGAGACATTGTTAAATGGCAAACCATCATCATTTCAAACTCACTCTTTCTGTCTCTCCTTCTCTCTTTCAAGAAAAAAAAATAATAAAAAAAAAATCTCTGTGTCCTCTCTTACCATCTTCCTCATAGTGTTGGAGAAACATTAATAATTTAATAGAGAATGGAGAGAGAAAGCATGGGAGAAGCTGCAACAAGGCCTCTGCTTGTTGAAGAACAATCTCCTGGTATTGAAAAAGAGGTCTCTGCTTCATCCTCAGTCACAGCTGTTGTCCTCTTCAGCAACTTTATTACTGCCTGTGGTTGCTTCGGTTATGGGTGTGCTGTAAGTAAACCTTTTTTTTTTTTTTTTTTTTTTTTTTTTTTTGAGTTTGTATATTCTGCTAGCTTAAAACCCAGATATAAATTAATGGAATTTTTTTGGCAGCATAATTGATGTTTTTATTGTTCCTAGTCCATTCATGTAGAGTCCCACTTGTCTTGGACAGGATGAAGCTATATATATATATATATTTCATATTAATTTTTAAATTTTGTATACATGCTTTGCAATCAATCCACTCCCTTAGTCCCTTTTCCCTCCTTTCTCAAATTACTTCTCCCATCCTCCTGGAATATATATATACATATATACATATATATATGTTCTATTGCGAATATCAATTCCATCAATTCCTTGTATGAGTTTAGTTCTAGTGATCTCTCTCTCCTCTCTTAATAAAAAAAAGTGGAAGAGACAATTCTGGTGTATGTGACTTGCCAAACAAAATTTAAAAACAGGGGATACAATGTATGACTGTAGTTTGATAAATTTTAAGGAAGGTTAATTTAATTTATTCACAATTTAATACGAAAAGTAGGGGTCAATGGGAAATTATTTTTATTTGAGAGCATTTTTATTTTCTTTTTCGTGGTTAACTTTTTTAACCTTGGAGAGCCATAGGACTAGAGCCTCTTGCTCTGGGCTGGCCTCTTTTCCTTAATTTTTTTATCATAGGATCATATATTATGAGAAAATTGATGATCTAAAACTTAAAAATTAGAAGAAAATTAATTGGGACAAAGTAGATAGTTTTGGACCATTTTTGGGTTTTCCGCTTGAATATCATCTATTGACCTTGCATGCTGGGAGTCTGAAACTTCTTGAGAATGACTTCATTGGAATTTTACAAAATTTTGCAAATCAAAACCGTGAACGTGAATTTAATCATTCCAATCATTTAATGGTAGTGTGAACTAGCATTATGGATGGACCTCATTAAAATTTTATAATGAATATGAATAAAAAAATATAAGTTTGTGGAAATTAGTTAATTGATTTCTTAATTTAGGGCTTGTTTACAAATGAATTTCTTTGCAAATTATTTTTTTCCCAGTTAGGACAACATGTTTTTACCATGGAATGACGTGGTGTACTTTGAAAGTGTTTCGCACGAATTTGATATAAAATTCAGATTGTTTTATGAAAATTGGAATTTTGTACTTACTCTGTAAATTAATTTAGGCGTTATTGTTGTTGAACTTGAGATTATGTTTGGATGATGTAGACCATGGAAATGATCCCCTTAGGAGTTTATTGACCTGGAACATTCTTGTTATGAAAAATGTGATGATTAATAAGATGTACTTATTATATATATGTATAAATTGGTGACAGATTTGGACAACAGTTGTGGTTTAGGACATGTGTCCTGCATGATGTGGATTGGACTTTTGGTAATTTGAGGCTAGATTGTGGTTATGCCCATTTTAGTCTGGGATTTGATTATGATGATGTAAGTCTGGACTTGTGATTGTGGCGATTTGAGCATGATATGTGATTGAGATGTTTCCAGCTTGAAATTATGATTCTATAGGTTTTTTATATTGTGTTGGTTGGGACAGAGGGTGTATGATGTCAGGAGTGACTTGAGAGAAAGATCTTGTACTCAAAATGGACAATTTCGCAGACTTTGTCGGGGAGAGTCCACTGAAGATAACCTCAGTATGATTTTAGCGGTGAAATTCTGAGAAAGATCCCATAGGAGTAACCTTGTAGAGGACCTGTGTCCATGCTAGGAATGACTTGTGGAGAATGTCTCAAACGCTGATTTCCACCAATCTCATATGGCTGGTAGCTAATAGTTAGTTATGGAACCACGTCGTGTGCTGTGTTTAGTTTGAATTGAGTTGAGAGTGTTGAGGGTAATACATATTAGGATTCGTTGCTCTATTTCCTTATGGATTGTCTTGTAACGCTGCGATTACGAATCTTGCTTTGCGTTTGTTAGACAAAATTGGTTATATTATTGTGTTTAAGGAGTTACGATAGGATATTTATACATTGTCTTGCATCCTGTTTATTGGTTATAGTATCATGTTTCTGAGGCTACTGTTTTATATGTATCTTGAATCCCAATTATGACTTGTACAATTCATGCTCTGAACATTGTTCAGAGATTGTTACTCAGAGCATTTAAACTGTATTAGGTTTCTTCGTTATTTTTCCTACTGGGCATTCATGCTCACTTCATTTTTTGCCCTTTTCAAATATTCTGGCTGAAGTAGATAATAGTCAGTCCCATCACGAGCTCGCTAAGAGTAATATAAATTTTAGATGAGAGAATCCTGGGATATATCAAATTTTTTTTTTTTTTTTTTTGGATTTATATTATTATATTATGAGGTGGAGGTGCCTTAGTATATCTTTTGGTAAAATACATGTTATGGGTTGGTTGTCTTGATTTTATCATGACTTAATCCTCTACTTGAATAGATTGATTGTGGCAACCTAACATGTCTTTTTTGGTTGTAATACTAGTTTCTGTTGTATTCTATGGACTGAAATACAGAAATATATAAGGACTGACTTGGGGGTTTTTTGAGTGTGCGAACTCATTTTCTATAAAGATGGTTTATGTTTTGAGTGAAATTTTTGGGCCGTCTTGCAGACGGGCATAAGCTTTAAAACTTACAACGTAAATAGTTGTGTATGATTTATGTGATTCTTGTTTTTCTGTTATATTTCAATCTGTAATCCCAAATACGCCACAACATCTCTCACTTCGATCAATTCCAATATGTCAAAAGGTGTAAAAACATTAGGTACAGATCAGAGAGAGGAGTGCAGGAGAAAAAACTGGCTTGCTTGAACTGGTCTGAATCTGATTCCCAGTTGGTTTGTTGGCCCGATTTGAGTGGACCATTGAATTGGACAATGTTGTAACACATAATAGCATATAATCTTGGATTCTGCGGTTGCATAGTTAAGTTCAACAATTTTTTTAAATATAGTGTAATCAGTAATCAGACAATTAGACCTATCAACTTGGATCACTTAATCAGCTAGTGATGATTAATTATGTGTTTCCAGATGCATGTAACTAATTTTTGGTCTATGAACTATTTGTAGTCTGGATTTTCATCTCCTGCTGAATCTGGTATCATGGAAGACCTGGGCCTCTCTACTTCAGAGGTGAGTACTTATCAAATAAATTGGTGTGTGGAATGTAACAGCGTCAGGTTTTCGGAGACCTGATCCACAGAGAGACACTTGCACTTGAGAATATTTGTTTACCAATCATGATAATTGTTATGCATATTAAGTTTGTGGCGATACCTCATTGCTGAATGGTATTTCAGTCTTCAGGCATTGTGGGATTTTAAACAAGTACATATGTCCTTTTCAGGGAATTTAGATTTTGGTTTCTCATCATGATTAGAGTGAAGTAAATTGTAACCATACATGACTTTGTTATGGGCAAACAGTCATATGAAGCTAGTGAGTAGATTTGGACAAGATAATGGAACCAAATTCAATATTTAGTATTATTGTCTTTGGAAAAGTTATGTTTTCATTTTATTTTCTTTTTCTTTTGAAATTTGGGAATTTTTTTTTTGTTAATTTGGCATTAGTTTTAAGAAAGAATGGTGAATTTGGAAAATCCAGTTGGACTAGATGATGATTATACTTCGAATTCTTCTTCTTCGAGGTACTAAATGAATTTGGATACATTTACATAGCCTGGAGTCGAGCAATGAAACTAACTGTTTTCCAGTCAGTATAAGTTATATTTTCTTATATTTCACTAACTACTTATTCTTTTCCTCATTGCCCAGTACTCTGTTTTCGGTTCAGTAATGACAGTTGGAGGAATGCTAGGTGCAATAGTAAGTGGCAAAGTAGCCGATGTGATTGGACGGAGAAGTGTAAGTTTTTTCCTTATCATAAATTTTGCTCTAGGCCTATTGCAAAATTTTACTATAATGCTATGTCTGAGAGCACCGAATTGGTGCCTTGGATTTGGAATTCGAATAAATTCAGTTTAAACATTGAACTGAATTTTCTCCAATTCTAAATCCAAGGTGCCGATTTGGTGCTTCCAAACGGAAGGTAAATATTATCTCATCACTTCAACTGTTCTCAAGCTTGGTTGATCTTGCAATGCAGACTATGTGGCTCCTGGATGTATTTTTCATCGTGGGGTGGATTGCAATATATTTAGCAAAGGTTTCTTACACTTTATTTATTTCATACAGCCATAATTTAGTTGATGCAGGACTTATACTTCAAACTGTTATATCTCTTTACACATCTGACAAATCAATAGTAGCAATGTAGCATGTTTGGGTGTCCTAAAAGCTTGAGGAGTTCCAATGAGCTGTAGTAAAATAAAGAACTTATAGTTGAACTTTTTATATATGTAATTTTATTTTGAACATATACGGTGAGGGTTGATGTTCATCTAGAGTGTTAATTATTATTTTTATTTTTCAAAAGAAAGAAGAAAAACAGAAACTAGAGATTGGGGATCATTTTACTGGCATTAGAAGTAATTCTTGTATGAAGTTTCTCCCGGAACATGTCAAATTGTATGTGTTCTGGATGTTCCTAAGAACACCAGAATGGCAAATAAAAGGACAAGAAGTCGCATTACAAATTAACAGAATACTTTTCTTTCTTTCTTTCTTTCTTTTTTTTTTCTTTTTAATCGGGGGGGCATGGTTAATATTAAACTTTCAGTGATTTTTGGAAGGGTGCTTGGGTGCTTTATTTTGGACGGCTGTCGATGGGATTTGGAATTGGGCTTCTTTGTTACGTGGTAATTGCAACGAAGTTCACATGTGAGAATTGTGTCTTTCTGTAATGTACTATGAAACTTATATTGCTATTGCAATCAGGCGCCCATTTATTCCGCAGAAATCACACCCAAGAATATTCGAGGAGCATGTACAGCATCTAATGAGGTAAACCAATACAATTGTAGATTTCAATTAGGGAACCAACTCTTTGTTTATGTGCGTATGTACTGGTAATCCTACAGTTGATGGTGGTCTGTGGTGGATCACTTATGTTTTTCGTTGGGAATCTCATTAATTGGCGAGCGTTGGCACTAATTGGTATCTTGCTTCACCCATCTATTCTTTATATAGTTCAAAAGTTGTTTATTTTAACATCTTTCGTTTGGTGACATGGTAGGAACTATCCCGTGTATCATACAATTTGTAGGCTTATTCTACATACCAGAGTCTCCAAGATGGTTGGTGAGTTCGATTCAAAATTTAATTCAACTGTTATTGTGCATTACCATAGAGTATTCTCAGTCCATGGTAGGAAAGCGAGAAAATGAAGTAATCAAACTATTGATTTCTAATGTAACATTATTAAAAAGTCTGTTCATGGGAGATCTAGTTCAAAATTTTCTTCATTTTTTTTTTTTTTTTTGTGGTTTTCCTGCCAATATTTTGAGCCAAAATCATGTTAAAACCAAAGTTACAACACAAGTTACATAGATTGTGTTTCTTTTACTATTTCTAATTGAACTAATGTGGCAAATTTGGGGAAATTTGATCTCCTAAAATTCTCATTTGAGGAGTGCAACCCTTTGCAGGCCAAGGTTGGCCAAGAAAAAGAGTTAGAAACATCTCTTCGACGCCTAAGGGGAAAAAATGCCGATATTTCTGAAGAAGTAACTGAGATCATGGTAACATTTTGACTTTACATATTAATGAAAAGGCAGTTTTTGAAGAAAAGTACTTGTTTTTGCTTTATTTTTCATTTTCTTTCTTTGTATAACAATAGCCATCAGGAAACATGATATGTGCTTATTGTTATACAGGATTATACTGAAATCCTTCTAAAGCTCTCAAAATCCAGATTTTTAGACTTGTTCGATCGGAGATATGCACATTCACTCATTGTAAGCCTTGAGTTAACGGTAGATGTGCAATGTTACCTTTCCACCATTTGCCTAACCTTTCCGTTAATAAAACCAATTTGCACTAGGTTGGAATTGGACTTTTGTCACTGGTTCAATTTGGAGGGACCAGTGCGATCTCATATTATGCAAGTTCGATTTTTAAAGCTATTGGTAAGTTTAGCTTTATAATAATTTATGAAAGTAATTAATATTTTCTTTGGTCAAATGCGTAGGAATGAATATCTGAATCTATCTATCTCTCTTCCAGGTGCCTCAACTACTGTTGGGACTACAGCAATGGCCATTATTCAGGTTCTTGTTCTTGTAATTGGAATTGGACTTGGAATTCGAAACGTGCATTTCTTAGATAACGTAGATATTCTTATGCAGATTCCATTTTCTGCTTCGAGCTTACTCTTAATGGACACGTGTGGGCGACGAAAACTTATGATGGTTGGAATGGCAAAGTGTGCTTTTTGTCTTGTTCATTTTGATTAATAGACAAGCCAATACTAATATATACTCTTTGCAGGTTGCTGCAGCCGGAGTATGCCTTGGAAGCTTCCTTACAGGAATAGCATTCCTTTTGCAGGTTTTTCGAAAAAATAATATCTGACCCCCCATACTTATCGATTACTTGCGTCATTCTCGTATTAAAAGATAAACGATCATCTCCTAATATCTAAGTTCGTCGTGACCAGGATTTTCATCAAAATGACGAACTCACTTCCATATTGGTGCTGATTGGCATACTGGTAAATCATATTTTAATCAAATGATACTCACCTCTCTACTCCGATATATGTATGAAATGAAAATTATAATATGAAAAGAAAATAATTTTAATCAAAGTCTCCGTTTTTCATTTGTGTTTGCTGCTTCTTCCATTCCATGTGACCTATCCATAATGTGGGAGTCTAAAAAGGCGTCTGTGTGGCATTGTGCATAGAGTTTAGCATCACAGTTCATATAAATTCTTGTGGGTTGTTTTTTTTCGACTGAAATCCTAATTCGAATGAATTTATAAATATATATATATATATATACTTCTATTTGTTTTAGCAAATTTTGACATGTAATATGTATGTATTGTAATTATTTGATTCTTCAACCAGGTATATGATGCATGTGCTGCAATGGGCATGGCTAATACACCATGGGTTATAATGTCAGAGGTGGGTCAACTATATTGGTCTGAACTCTCTCTTCTTTTATGGAATTAGTAACCATAACTTAACATAACAAGAAAGTCATATATATATATATATATAGCTTACTATTGTCTAATGTTTTGCCAATTTTAGATATTTCCTATAAACATAAAAGGTTCTGCTGGAAGCCTAGTGATTTTGCTCAACTGGTTCAGCTCATGGATTGTTTCTTACACATTTAACTTCATATTCGAATGGAGTTCAGCAGGTGAGTACTCCTTCCCTCCCTCCCTCTCTCTCTCTCTCTCACACACACACACACATGCATCCTATGTTGGTCATTTTTTGTATTGAAAATGATTTTAAAGCCAAATAGTTTGAACGGAATGGAGAGTCGAAAACTTCATATCCGTTAGATACACTCAACTAGAAGTAATACGGGATCCAGTTGAGTGTATCCCATCGAATGGGGAATTTGGGCTCTCCATTTCGTTCGAATCCTTCGGCGTTAATAGCATTACTCTTCTTTTATTTTATTTGAACAAAATGTGTTCGTTATTTTTGTATTTATTTGAAGGTTTTTTTTCTTTTTTGGGAAATTACTAATAAGGCTACATGACTTCAGGAGTATTCTTCATATTTGGAAGCATATGTGCTTCAATTGTTCTATTTGTTTTCAAGCTGGTGCCAGAGACCAAGGGAAAAACATTAGAAGAAATACAATCCATGATGCATCTTCTCAAATGAGAAAATCAATTAATTCTAAGGAATCTATGAATTGTGTTATGTAGTTCTATTTGTTTTCAAGCTGGTGCCAGAGACCAAGAGAAAAACATTAGAAGAAATACAAGAATCCATGATGCATCTTCTCAAATGAGAAAATCAATTAATTCTAAGGAATCTATGAATTGTGTTATGTAGGGTATGTGTTTTAAAAAAATAATAATAAAAAAAGAATTCACAGTGAATCCAACGGCTACAAAGAATTCACAGTGAGGCATCACTACTATGTTCCTTGATGATGTATCAAAGTCCTATTATAAATGTGGCATCAGAAATGATCTCTTGTTCACTTGCGATTAGGGCTGCAAGTTGGGTTGGCCCAACCCAGCCCAGTCCTAACCCAACCTCAACCCAAATCGTGTTGGGTTGGGGCCAACCCGAATTGTACCCAACATGGATTATGGTCAAAACCCAACCCGAATATTTTCGGGCCGGTCGGGTTGGGTTGACGGGTTGAGTTTTTTTTTTAATAAACAAAATAATAATAATTTTAGTTTTTTTTTGAAAATTTATATATATATATATATATATATATATATATATATATATTAGATTATATTATTATTAAAAAACAAAATTTTTTTAGGGCAAATCATTTCAGCCTCCCCAATCGCCTCCAGGTCTCGTTCCCAACTCTCTCTCTCTGCAACTACAAACTACAAAATCTACAAGAATCAAAAGTTCAAAACTCATATATTTCGGATGTTTGCCAGAATCAAAAGTTCAAAACCCATATCGGCATATCATTTCAAATTCTCCAAAAAAATCAAAACCCGTATCTTTCAATTTCCATCGCCCACTGTTCCAGTTCAGGTTTACTGTTCGCAAAGCTTCAGCCGCTGTCTCTCAACTCTCAAGCTTGCCCCCCTCTTAACTATCAAGCTTCGCCCATGAATGGCGGCAAAAAGAGAGAGAGAAAGAGAAAGAAAAAGAAGAGAGAGAAAGAAAAAGAAGAGAGAGGAGACAGAAAGGAGAAAAAAAAAAAAAAAAAATTAAGCCCCCCTCTCAACTCTCAAGCTTCGTCCATGGACGACGGCAGAGAGAAAGAAAAAGAAGAGAGAGGAGAGAGAGAAGAAAAAAAAAAAAATTAAATAAAAAAAATTTGGGTTTTGGGTTGGGTTTGGGTTGAGCCCGAGCCCAACCCAAATTTGTCTGGGTTTTGACAAAACTCAACCCAAACATGAATCCAATTTGTGAATATAAGCCCCAATTTCAAAATTTTTGGGTTGGGCTGGGTTAACCCGCCCAAGTTGCAGCCCTACCTGCAATAAAAAAATTCATTAAACATGGTAATAGTTGGATATGATTTATTATTATTATTTTGATAATTACTTTTTTCCATCTAACGGTTATTATGCTTCGTGTGGAGAAAATTTCTTATTCACCTGGTGAGCAAGACATCATTACTCAGTCTCTTGCACTACAATAAAATATATATATCAGAAGTCCCCAAATTGCACAACTGACCGTATGTCTATTGAAACTAAATCCTTTTTTTTTTTTTTTTTTTTTTTTTTTTTTTTTTTGTAACAATAAAATAACAAGTTTCATAGTAAGGAATGAAAAGAATTAATTTCACTCACATCCCTTCAGGTTTGGCCAAATATCACACTCAAACATCTTTCGAAAATTACTATCATTCGCATTACAAACGTTTGAGCTCTGACACTATGTAATATGACTTAAATAGCCTTTGACTTGGTCAAAAGTACTCTCCAACCAAAAGAATTAAATAAAAAGACTAGGGGTGCACACGGTTCAGTTCGGTACGGTTTCTGCAGGAACCGGAACTAGAATCGGAACCGGTCTGAACGGTTCCTAAAAAATGGAACCGGAACCGTGAGCAGTGGAACCGTTGACCAAACTAAGACCAGAAGGAGAGGTTGAGAAGAGAGGCTGAGAGGAGAGGCTGAGACAGAGACCGATCTGAGTAGAAATGATTGAATAAAAAAAAGTTGTCAATTTCCGAGCACCGCCTCCATCTCCGATCGGCTCCAGTCGCTGATCATCGGTAACAAACACCGACGTTCTCACCAATTCTCTCGAACACTCTCTCCAGTTTTCGCATTCCGGACCTCATTTTACCGGATTGAGTCTTCCCTCGCCAAAAATCGATAGAAAACCCTCCTAAAATTAACTTAATTAAATCAGAGGCTGAGAGGGATCTGACCGATCTAACTAGTGATCTGAGAAGATAGAGACCAGTGAGAGGGCCGAGAAGCTGAGAGGAGAGGAGGGGAGGCGGAGCCGCCGAGTGAGTTTGAGAGGTTAGGTAAATTGGTTAACCTAAAGCTTAGGTTTAGGTTTTGAGAGTTTTGTGACTTTTGATTTTTAATATTTTATCCAATATATGATAATCTGAATTCTGAAATGAATATGTGGATGTGGTCACTTTGAAACTTATAGGCTAAACACGGCCCAGTCGCCCACAGCCCATAGCGGCACAATCCACAACCCACAAATATATATATATATATATATATATATATATAGGTTCGGTTTTGGAATCGAATCGTGAGACCGGAACCAGAATCGAACTGAATCTAAACGGTTCCTCGTTTTAGGAACCGGAACCGTGGAATTCGATTCCAGTTTCAATTTCACGGGTCTTTTGTACATTCCTAAAAAAAGATTACAATACTCCCAAGTACATTACAAATTTGTAATTATAGATATACCATATATATATATATATATAAAAGGGGTCAGACAATAGCAAGTCAAGCAGGAAGTCAGTCCTGCCCATTATGACGTCAACGCTCAATAGTTTATTACAAGTGAACTCCGACTCCTGATCTTGAGGATCAGTCCAGAGAATCTTATTCTTGTGATCCGTTTCAATGGAAGGCTAAAAGAGAAGAGCAAGTGGTGCTCTATTATCAGACAATAGCAAGTCAAGCAGGAAGTCAGTCCTGCCCATTATGACGTCAACGCTCAATAGTTTATTACAAGTGAACTCCGACTCCTGATCTTGAGGATCAGTCCAGAGAATCTTATTCTTGTGATCCGTTTCAATGGAAGGCTAAAAGAGAAGAGCAAGTGGTGCTCTATTATCATATAGAGAAGTATGTATGATATATATATATATATATATATACCCGAGCCTCTCCTCCCTCCCTCGCCACCACCGGTGCCACCGGCCACAACCGAAGAAAAAGAGAGGTCAAGTCATTAACCTCGCACCAGATGTAGGATAGGAAGATTGTTGCCGGCGGCGGCTCGCCGCAGGCCACCGTCATTCTCACGGTGGCGGCGACTTGCTGTATTTTCCATATAACCCAATTTGAATATCTATAATCCAATTTGAATAGAACGATGATTACAGGAAGGAAGAACCCAATTTCAACTGTATGTATGTATGTATCCCAATTAACGGATATATTATTTACCCAATTTAAACAAACTAGATTGTAATAAGGACGATCAAAAGAATGATGAAAAAATATAACTCAACCCATTGATCATCAACACATCAATATCCTAAATTATAGGAATTTTGGTTTGGAGGGAATTTGACCTTGGACCCCTGTATTTTCTATTAAAAAAAAAGCTGCAAAAGACAATGAGCTCTCGCCCGCAATGGCCGAAGAAAACCAGAGATTTGTCATGGGTGATAGGAAGATCTATCCAAAGTAAGCTCATTCATTGAGAAATACCTAATTATGCTATATCTATTAATCCATCTTTTCAAGCTAAAAAAACAAAAGAAAGAAAGGGCATACCTTTAAAGGATGTAACAGACCCAAAAGAGAAAGAAAGGCTATAAGAACTTAAAGAAGGTGTCAACGAGCCTGCCATTCCGGGTAGGCCAAGCAAAACATAACAAGAAATGAAATTCTATTTGATAAAACGGGTTGATGAAACCACTTACTTTGATTAAACACTTGAATCTTTCCAGTTTGAAAATGCAAAATTGTAAGAGTGAGAAAGATGGAGTGGGTGTATTAAGGGGTATAATGGTAATCTAAGTAATCTGATATTTTAGAATAAATAGAATTAAAAATTTAGGGACAAAGTTGTCTTTTTTATTTTTTAACGGGTTCTGTAATGAAAAAGTAAAAATGGACTTAAGCGATAATAATTTTTGAAAGATGTTTGAGTGTGATATTTGGCCAAATCTGAGGGAGTATGAGTAAAATTAATCGTAAAATATATGAAAACTGTTAAGTTTGCTGACAATTAAAATTATGTGATTTTTTTTCATGTTATCTTTTGGAGCACCGAATCTGCCTTGGATTTGATATTGGAATTTAGTTAAAAATTTGTACTCAATTTTTCAATTTCAAATTCAGTAGGCCGATTTGGTGTCGCCAAACATGGCTTCATTTTTTTTTGTTTTATTTTATTTTATGATAAATCAACATTAATTATAAAATTAAAAGTAAAGGGCGTAATTAATATTTCAATAGTAAAAAGAAAAAAATTATTACTAGCAAAATTTTGAGTTGGTTAAAAACATTTAGACTTTGTTTGTTTGAATGTAAAACATTTTTCAGAAAATATTTTTTAATTTTTTTTGGTGTTTAGTTGTTGTAAATATTTTAAGAAAAAAAAAATATTAAAACCTAACAAAAATAATTTACCCATTAATTTTTGACAAGTAATTTTATAAGACATGCCAAATGAATTTGGCTTCAACTTGGCCCTATATCTTTGTCAAACATCTTAAACACGAAAATATAAAAATATTTATCCAATAATACGTCAAAATAAACAACTGAACCTCATAGAAAGTAGAATGTGCTATTAAAACATTTATAGAAGGTTGGACTGGCTATTAAATTTTATTATTATTTTTTTTTAGAACTCATTGATTGTTACATACTTGCGTTTAAAACTAGTATACTATAGTTTGTTGGAGTACATTAAATATGGTACTGAAAAACCACTCTGGAGTGCTACGCTTATGTTGTGAAATTAATGATGTTGTGGTAATTTTTCTTTGAGAAGTTTTAAAATGCAAAGGTGATACAAGGAGACATGTTACATGAATCTAATTGTTAATATTTAAGGTGTGTATATATTTTTCTGTATACAAGAGAACAAGTGAACAATTCTATATATATATATATATATATGTTTAAATCAAAATAAGCAGTAAGGATGGCGCCGATGATAGTGATGACAGCGGAATCCGGTTGCGACGGACGGTGAGCAAGGAGCTTACTGTTGGCTATGGCAGATTCCGGTGGGTTTGACGGCGAAATGGGTTTCTCTTCGCCGGTGCAAACTTGGGAACTTGGAGGTTGGTTTCATATTTGTCATACAGGTTTTTCTTTCCTTTGGGCTATGTATGTGCTCATCATCTCAGTTGTTTTTGCAATCTTATCTCATTATATCTTTAATAAGGGTTGTGTTTTGGTCAATTTATAAATCTTCGTTGGATGATGTTTCACTCACTCTGCTGTTGCATCACAATAATTAAGCCCATTGCCTGTCTGATTCATATAATGGTGGTCTGAATAAAAGGCTCCAAAAAAAGTACGTATGTATAGAAATCACAAATTAGTGTTGACCAAATAAGTTTATAATCAGCCATAAAACTGGGAAGGGGTCTGGAAACATTTTTGTATGATGGGTATAAACGCCTAACACCTCTTAAGTGTAAAAATATCATAAAAACAAATAGACGGTAATTTAAGTATTTTATTTTATTAATTTCAAGATTGGTATGAGAGGAAATTAAACCAAACCTCATATGGGGTTTAAAATAATTCTAAAAAGATTTCTTTTCAAGGTAAATACGCTTCCAAATTCTCGAGAATCTCAATAAAGAATATCAACCTTTAAATGCACTCGACACTTAATCTTCTCAATTGATCTTTGATTAAAATAACACACACACACATATATATATCATTTAATGATGTGAAAATTATCAAAGATCTGAAAAGACATAAAAATTCTTTATTAATTAAAATAAAATAGATTAAAGTACTAACATATATAAATTTGGTAGTAAAATATGTATTAAATATACACTCTTCAAACACGACACGCGTAATCCTTTTAATAAATAGTCCAAGACTTAATAACGTAAAATGATACGAAAAGACAAGTTTAAGTAATTTTTTATACAAACAAAACACTTTTATATTACACGTTTGTTACATGAGTCATTTTTTATACGAATATGATACGTTTAGTTAAACCTGAGGGTCAAATACGAACACGACACGTTTAGTTAATCGATTAATTCATGTTGACACAATTACAAAATGAATCGAATAGTTCAAAGACTCCAAACTTAATCTTTCTAGTACCATGTCAAGTATTGTGATCGATCTGAATTAAATGGTAAATTAAAAGGTAAAGAGTAAAGAGTAAAGAGTTAAAAGTAAAATATTTATTACTTTTTTTACATATATAGAAAGTAAAACCTGCCGTGTTCAACAACAAATATATATATATATATAGAGAGAGAGAGAGAGAGAGAAGTTGATTAATTTATAGTTACATGTCAAACTTGGTTGGAGTAAGTTAATGGTAAGGAATGTCAGACTTGGTTGGAGTA